TACTCTTGTACTAAAATATACAGTTAAAATTATTAATAAAGATATGAGCAAGGCCTTACCTTAATACCAAAAAAAAAAAAAAAAGTATAATACACTATTGGGTATATATAAACTGTGAATGTCACCCTATGTATTTTGCATTTGTTCACTTTAAAAGGCAAATTCAACCAAGTAATGCTATGGCAATCTGTTGTGTAAGTTCAAAGAATTCGTGAAAGTGGTGGAAACAAAAAGAATAACAAGAATGTTATGAAATGTAGTTGTTAGAATTCATAGAATTATTCTATAATATATTTCTTTCCAAAATAAAGATAGCTCAGTTATGACATAAAAAATTTTTCCACATAATTCCTACTGAATAGTGAATAAAGTACAATTTTGAATTAGAGCTTTGTTATAGTTCAACTTCAGTCTTCTATTTTAGTTTGGCAAACCTATATATTCTTAATGAAAGATTCTGATTATAATATTCTTTATAAAAAATTTTTAACCTCAAAATTTGTCAATTGGAATTGAATGAATTCTTTTATAAATCAACTTTATGCCTAATTAGAAGTGAATGTTTCACAATAAAAGCCAATGTCGCAAAAATCAGCTGCCTTCAATCACAGAAAAGTTTTAGCAACATCATGCATAATTAGGATGACTGCATATTCTTTACAAAAATTTTCAGCTCTCAAAATTTGTTAATTGAATTTGAATGAATTTATTTTATAATCAATCTTAATTAACCTCTTTCCTAATTAGAAGTAGATGTTTCCAAAAAAAATGATATCGATATCAGATTCTAACTATAACTGAACTGAATATACAATGCTGTGCATTCACTTTGTATTATACAAAATTTATTTGATATCAATATACAGTATCATATTTTAATACATACTGTATATTGCCAATGATTATATAAGGATATAATGCATTTATAAATAGACAATAAAAAGTTCATGTTCGAGTTTGCTATAAAAGGGCTCTCTTAATCCAAAGTTAACTTTTCTGTATATCTGTTCTGTTTTAAAACATTTATTGTAACATTTTATCAAATAAAATCTAAATAATAAACTGACAAATTGATGTTAAATTTATTCAAAAATCTTCACTTTCTACAAAATTCAATTTTCATACAAATTTATAGCTTCACTAAAAATGCCTAGAAAAAATAAAACTAATGGCATCAGTACATATAGATATTCAAAAGGATTTACTATTTCAATTATAGGAAGCTTAAAGAAAACTATTATATTAAAAAATAATCTCAAAGACTCATATATACAAGCACAGGCTGATTTTGCTACAATTACATTGCAACATTCAAATAAACAAACCAATTACTATACAACATTGAACTTAATCAAGTAATATATGACAAAGTAAACAAGATTTTAACAGCTAAAAACAGAAAGAGAGAAACAATAAATGCAAAAACAACAGAAGTTACAAAATATGAAATGGAAAATCTGACTTATTTTTACTATAAGATACACCTAAATTTTCACAGTCATATGTACAGTACACAAAACATACTTGATATATATATGTATCATCCAATATAGCCATAATGTATGACTTGACACAACATGGCACCACTTACTGCACATCATGGACCAAGACAGAAGTCGCCCACCTAGATAGAAGATATCAAAAATATAATAATTTTTCTGAGTTTGATTAATATTTCGCATCAGTAAGATTTATTTAAAGCTGTTATATAATCTGATACAAAAAATTATTAAATTTAGAAATTCTAATAATTTATTTTTTTATTATAAATATAAATTCAAAAATTGTATTCTTTATAGTTATAATTTAAAAAGTTTAATTTTTTTTGGTATAACCATTTTTACAATAAAGAAGTAAATAATTTTTGCAAATATAAAAGGTTTAATATTTAATAAAAGGTTTAATATTTAATAAAAGATGGTTTGATTCAAATAAATAAATAAAATTGACTAAATAAATAGCTTAAAACCCAGTGTTCAATATTGAAAAGCCCAAAAGAGAATTGTTATGAAAAATGTCATCAGCAATTCTGACCAGCAAAAAAATTTCATAAAATTATCAAATACTATCAGCTTTAGTCATCTCATACCAAAGAATTTTCATAATAAAATGGAAAAGTAATTGAGCCTTATCATCTAACCAGACTTGTAAATATTCAAATTGTTGCTATAAAGCTTATTTTGAAAGAGTTACTTTGCTAAAATCATTTTTGCAATAGCAACAAAATATTTTTGATCTAGTGTATATTATTAATAATATAAGTCGCCAAGAGGAGGAAGTTTTCATAATAAATCACAAATTTAGATAGATTTATTTTCTTACTAGCACTTTAACAAGGCTTTAATAAGGTTTTTTAACAAGTATAAACAATTAGTAATTTTCTACACTCTGTCAAAAAACCTTGTTAATAGTGCTAATAAGAAACTAAATCTGTCTAAATTTGTGATTTGCTATGAAACCTTCCTCTTGGAGACCTATATTATTAATAATATATACTAGATTGAGAATATTTTATCCTATTACAAAAATGAAAGATTTTAGCAAAGTATTTAATAGCAAACCCCAAAGGAATAATATAACCTTAATCTGAATAACAGTTTCTACAGATCACAAATATTTCTGATGTTCAATGAAATGGAACATATTGTAGTAAAAGGTAAGTGCATATCTTTCAAGCTAACAAAGTTGAATATATTAAACCAATTATAAGTTAATTAAGATCTTGAATTATATATATACTGCATAAATAATTAAGTTCTAGTCATTATTAATTTTTCTTGGAATTTATATTTAATTGTACCCAATTTTTCCTATAATTAAATATGGAAGTCAACCTGGAAATTTTATTTTATTTTCTAGAGAATAAGAAACTTCTTTTACTCCGATTTCATAGGCACCACATAATCGAATACTAAATTTTTCAATTTCTTCCAACAAGATTTTGACTTTATGGTGGATAGAATTTAAATAAAAAATTTCAAACTCTTTACATTCTCCTTTTATGTCATGTATTGTATTATTTATTTTTTGCTAAATATCATCAATATCTATAATTTTTTCTGAAAGACTATTACCTTCTTTGACTAAATCATGAATATCTTTAGCTTTGATAATTGTATTATTCAACATACTTATTTTATTACTAAAAGTGGATTAAATTTTATAAATTAAATATCAATTAATATTTTCTATAGCCAAAGAATAATTATCTTGTTTTAATAAATGATTATTATTTGGAGTTTTATAATCTTCAGAATTGAGGGTCAACATTGTTTGTATGGATTGAAATATAGAATATAAATAGTTGGAATATTCAATTTCTATATATGAAGCAGAATAAGCACTGTAATGCAAATCTATAATAAGATTTTCAGGAGATGTCACTTTATAAAATTGATTATTATGAAGAGCGAGCAAACTTTCTGTTATTTTGATAACTTCAAAATTGAGAGATTGAGAAAAGTTTTCATTAATCATTCTATTTGATCGACAGTAAAATAATGTAGAGTATATATTTTGGTCTATTTTATTATTTCTTAGTTTATAATTAGAACAAGAAATTTGGAAATTATATGAAGTTTTAACGATAAGGGAATGTTTCAAAATTTCTAAGATCTTCTTAATGAAAAAAGATGTTTGTTTCGATGAATTTATAATATTTTTTGTAGTATTATAAACTTGATAAGAATCTTCATAATTTGCATCATTTGTAAATAGCTGACCTTCAATTTTTTCTCTATTATCTAGCAAATAGATTCAGATTTGTAGATAGTTCTCATAAACAAGAAGAAAAACCCAATAGCAAGAACAGAGAACAAAAAAGGATGAATCATATTTATTATTAAAATCAAAGATGTGAAAATCAAAGTAGCAATAATCAAAGAAGTCAAAAAAAATAAAATCAGGAAAATTGTATAAGTAATTTTCAGCAATAGAAAAATAAAAAAAGAAAAAATAGTAGTAGTAGCTGTATAGGTGAATTTTAGCAATAATGCTAAGAGCCTTAAACTGTTTTTACTTGACATTTTGCAATTGTAATTTTTAGTCAATTCTGAAAACATAATTCTTTTAATATATTTTTTCGTAAATAAACTTGTTCAAATAAGAAAATAATTAAAACAATTTTGTTTTAATTTATGCTATCTTTGCTGTAGTTATTCGTATTACTATTTTACAAAGCATTAAAATGAAACTCCAAGATAAGTATGATTAATAATATTTTTTGTGTATATAGTGCTGATCTGTTATGTAATTAATACATGTATTTTTTAATTAAAATTTTTTTAGCATACAAATATGTGAAAAACTATAAATACTATGCAATAAGATTCCAAAAAAGTTGTAGCATACTATTGCAAAAGGCTTTGTTCAATGTTTCATTTTTCATGAATGTACATTTCAAATAAGGTATAATTAATTTAATTTATGCTATTGCTATCTTTGCCATCTTCACCATGAATATTCATATTATCTATTTTACAAAATAAAATAAAACTCTGAGTTCTGTATGAATATGGATTTTATAATATAAATGCTAATCTGTTACTCAATTGTACGCAATCTGCTTTAAAATATATAAAGGATATAGTAATTTTTTTAGAATTTTTGTCATTTAAAATATTGAAAATGATTTCTCATAAGAAATTAGTTTCTTTAATATTTTTTTAAAATTTTATATTGGCATTGCTGAATATGCAAGAAAAACTCTTGTAAAATTGTATACTTTCTGACAGATTCTTATTCTTATTGTTATATTATTTGTTGAGATTATAATAATTTTAATAATCTTGGCATATGTAAATTTTCAGCTTTCTTCCACTAGTGCATTGAAGTTTAACTGATTTTTTATTGATTTTTATAGGTTGAAGAATTCATATTTGTATACTGATCCTTATGAGCCAATTGTACATAGAACTTTTGGTGTCAACCAATCTAATTGGAATATAATAGCACTACAAATAAAAGATATTTTTGATGAAATAATGGCTAGATGTTATGGGTTCGGATATCCAAATTATGATAAGTTAGTGCTGATATAAATATTAAAAACAAGTAGTATTTAAACCCTTTTATTATTGCAAAATTAAATTAATTAGAATTAAAAGTAAAATTCAAAGTTAGAGTTTTGATTTCTCTGACATTTTTTTATTTAAAAAATTATTCATTTACTATATATCTTAAATGAAACTATGTAAATTCTGAATAACATGACATCTGAACATTTACTAATAAACGAGTCCTTTGTGAAATAAAAGATTATTATTTCAGAAAAAATAATAATAAGAATATTATATGAAACAATTAACAATCAAGAAATTATTTAGATATTAGAAAAACCACATAATGATAATAGTAAGTATGATATGATGCTAATCTGTTACATGGGAAATAACTAATGTCATATAACATATTGTTGATCATTTTTACATTCTAATTTGAGGATTGTACTATGGATCTCATATATAAAATAAATAAATTTCTCATTTTGAGATTACTTTTTTTAATTGAACTACCATGGGTGACAATGTTAAAGAAAACAAAAGCAAAAAACAAATAGATCTTTTTAAGGCCCAAATAGCTGAAGAATCACCTTTAATTTTACTATCACATACTTCAATTACTCCTACTATTACAAATGAAGAAACTGCCTAAAAAAAGAAATTATCGAAAAGGAATGGACAAAATTTTTTAAAGATTTGCATTTAAAAAAAAGCAATCACAGACTAATATAGATTGGGAAGAATTTTCAAATAGACTTGATCATTCAATTATGATAAATAACCAAATTAAAAATTTAGAATATGAAAACAATAAAAAAAAAGTAGCTAATAGATTAATTAAAGCATCTATTCTGAATTTTAGCAACAATGAATTTACACACAAGAAAAAGTTTCATAAAGCAATGGTATTATTAATAGAAAGTGCAGAAAAAAAACATACTATTGGATTTTTGTCAGCAGCAACTAATTGGTTTAGGTTTTACAGTTAATTCTTTTAGTAAGGGCAATGAACAAGAAAATCATTTTGTTATTAATTTATTTGTTGAAAAATATGCTAAGAAATACAAATGTAAGTAACAATAAGTAGTTGTCTTTGTATTTTGCAGAAGGTATACTAATTGTAAATATTTGATATCTATTTAGCTCAACTTGGTCTATAAATATTAGTTTTTCTATGCATTAAAATAATACTAGTTAAGACAGTTTTAATTATGCTTTGTTATGCTGTAAATTTTTAATTTTTAAATATTATTAAGTCATTTCTAAGTTTGAAAGTATTACATTAAATTCTTACCTGAGTTATATAAAAATAAGTATATTCTTAGAAAGACAGAAAGTGCTATAAAATTTTTTTAATCTTATAAAATAAAATTATCCTGCATCACTCAAATGTGAGGTTAATTTCAGGCAAACTAATAGTTCAAAAATTTTATTAATGATCTTGATCTAAACAATATATGTTCTTAGTTACTACAAGTATATTTTATGTTTAATTTTTTGTTAAGATATTATACGAACCAGCTTTAAGTTCAATTTTGGCCAACATTAATATGAAAAGCTCAAATATGAGTGGTAATTTTAGTTGGTAAATCAAATTTCATGTAAACTATACCTGCTTTACAGAAATTACAAATCATATGTAAAATTACTATAATTTTTACATTTCTATTTTGCATCATATAATTTATTTGTAAGATTTTACAGACAGCTAATTATATATTACAACATTCTTTAACTTGATTTCTTAACTTGTATTTTTTTTTAGATTTATACACAGACAGTTATTTATGTATCACAACATTTTTAACTGAATTTTACACACAGCTTATCATGTATTACAACAGTGGTTCTTTGTATGATTTTATAGATGACTAATTATATATCACAACATTCTTAAGCTTGATTCCTTAACTTGTATTTTTTTAGATTTACACATGGTTATTTATGTATCACAACATTATTAACTTTGTATAATTGGATTTTACATATGACTTATTATGTATTACAACATTAGTTCTTTAACTTTATTTCTTTGTATTATTTTACAGACTAATAGTGTTCAAAATATTTTTTAAAATATTTGTTCCTTACATTAATCATATGAAAATCATAAATCCTAATTTTCTCAAAATCTTATAATTGTTTCAATGCTGTGTTACAATATTAACTTGATTTCTTAACTTGTATTTTTTTTTAAATTTACACATAGTTATTTATGTATTACAACATTCTTAACTGAATTTTATACATGGCTTATCATGTATTACAATATTGGTTCTTTGTATGATTTACAGATGGCTAATTATGTATCACAACATTCTTTAACTTGATTTCTTAACTTGTATTTTTTTTTATATTTACACATAGTTATTTATATATCACAACATTATTAACTTTGTATGATTGGATCTTATGCACAGCTTATCATGTATTACAACATTATTTTTTTAACTTGTATTATGCTTGATTTCTTTGTATGATTTTACAGACTAATAGTGTCAAGATATCTTTTAAAATATTTGTTTCTTACATTAATCACATAAAAATTATAAATCATAATTTTCTCAAAATCTCATAATTGTCTCAATGCTGTATTACAACATTAACTTGATTTCTTAACTTGTATTTTTTTTTAGATTTACATACGGTAATTTATGTATTACAACATTATTAACTTTGTATGATTGAATTTTACACATGGCTTATCATGTATTACAATATTGGTTTCTTTGTATGATTTTATGAATGGCTAATTATGTATCACAGCATTCTTTAACTTAATTTCTTAACTTGTATTTTTTTTGGATTTACATTGTTGAAGGCAGTGGGTTAATGTTTTTATTGGTTTTATAATAGTGGCAAGAAAATGCGACAGATTGTTACTCAAAAATACCAAACATCGCAAAACGTTGCATTACAGAAGAGACAGAATGATTTGGCAAGGCTAAGGTGTAAGTGCAAGGTCTTGGTTTATTTCTAATGACAGTTTTTTATTATTAATACGATTGTTTACTCTCTTAATTCTCTCTCAAAAAAAAGGCACTTATATACAAGAATGGCGCTCCATAAAAAGAGATAGCACAGGTGTCCAAAATCCAACATTTTCCTACTGAACTCAATGGTTTCAGATCTGTCATTACAATCAGAACCTTAAATGGCCTTATGCAGCACAAACAACTAGCCCAATCTGGCAGATCTCCTCTAACAAATGGCTATAGTACCCGATTCTGCATCGTTACGGCATTGTTTCAAATAGGTGGCTTGGCTTCCAAGTTTCTTGAAGTACAATCGATGCATAATTATTTGCTTGTTTCAGGAGCATTCTTACTATAAAGGGGCATGGGTCGGGGTGGCACTGGGTTAGAGCAACTCTGGTACCCATTTTGCCTGTAACAACATACAGTTATTTATGTATTACAACATTATTAACTTTGTATTATTAGATTTTACACATGGCTTATCATGTATTACAATATTGGTTCTTTAACTTGTTTTAGCTTGATATCTTTGTATTATTTTACAGACAGCTAATTATGTATCACAGCATTCTTTAACTTGATTTCTTAACTTGTATTTTTTTTTAGATTTATATATGGTTATTTATGTATCACAACATTATTAACTTTGTATGATTAGATTTTACACACAGCTTATCATATATTACAAGATTGGTTTTTTTGTATGATTTTACAGATGGCTAATTATGTATTACAGCATTTTTTAACTTGATTTCTTGCATTTTTTTTGGATTTACATATAGTTATTTATGTATCACAAAATTCTTAACTTTTTATGATTGAATTTACACATAGCTTTAATTATGTATTACAGCATTCTTTAACTTAATTTTTTAACTTGTATTTTTTTTTAGATTTACACATAGTTATTTATATATCACAACATTCTTAACTTTGTATAATTGGATTTTACACACAGCTTATCATGTATTACAATATTAGTTCTTTAACTTGTTTTAGCTTGATTTTTTTATATTATTTTACAGATGGCTAATTATGTATCACAACATTCTTTAACTTGATTTCTTAACTTGTATTTTTTTTTAGATTTACATATAGTTATTTATGTATTACAACATTATTAACTTTGTATAATTGAATTGTACACACAGCCTATTATGTATTACAATATTGGTTCTTTAAGTTGTATTATACTTGATTTCTTTGCATGATTTTATGAATGGCTAATTATGTATCACAACATTCTTAAACTTGATTTTTTAACTTGTATTTTTTTACAAGATTATTTATATATCACAACATTATTAACTTTGTATGATTGAATTTTATATACGACTTATCATGTATTACAACATTGGTTTCTTTGCATGGTTTTACAGACGGCTAATTATGTAGCACAGCATTTTTTAACTTGATTTCTTGTATTTTTTTTTGATTTACACACAGTTATTTATATATCACAAAATTCTTAACTTTGATTGAATTTACATACAGCTTTAATTATGTATTACAGCATTCTTTAACTTGATTTTTTAACTTGTATTTTTTTTTAGATTTACACATAGTTATTTATGTATTACAACATTCTTAACTTTGTATAATTGGATTTTACATATGGCTTATCATGTATTGCAATATTAGTTCTTTAACTTGTTTTAGCTTGATTTTTTTGTATTATTTTACAGACAGCTAATTATGTATTACAACATTCTTTAACTTGTATTGGGCCTTTTCAAAGTGAATTTATTAGTAGATTTGTAGGTACGAATTTTGTATTATAATGTATTATATTAACTTATGTGCATGCATTAACTTGGAATTAAAATAAAAAATATATTATGAGCTTTTAAATTTATTTTATTGCATAATATATTTTTTATTTTACTTCCAAGTTAGTGCACACACATAAGTTAATACAATACATTATAATATAAAATTCATATCTACAAATCTACTAGTAAATTTACTTTGAAAAGGCCCATTTTTTTTAGATTTATACACTTATTTATGTATTACAACATTATTAACTTTGTATGATTAGATTTTACATATGGCTTATCATGTTTTACAACATTAGTTCTTTAACTTGTTTTAGCTTGATTTCTTTGTATTATTTTACAGACAGCTAATTATGTATCACAACATTCTTTAACTTGATTTCTTAACTTGTATTTTTTTTTAGATTTCACATAGTTATTTATATATCACAACATTATTAACTTTGTATTATTAGATTTTACACATGGCTTATAATGTAATACATACTTTTGATTTCTTTTTTAGATTTTACACACATTATTTATGTATCACAACACTCTTTAACTTTGTATTATTAGATTTTGCATACTCACTTAGTTATGTAAACTTTAAAGAAAGAAAACTAGTTTAAGGAGATTGTGAAACAATTTAGTGGCTATTCTTCTTTTGTTAAAATGTCTCTTCCATTTTTCAGTTACATAATGATTCAATTAGTATGATTTTACCAAGTCAATGAAATTATGCCTGGTTCAAGACAGATTTTTTGAACCAACACAATCTTATTAATCTTATTAATAAATGGGTCTAACTTGTTAGGCTTCTATCTGCGTTCATTTTTTTAACTAAAGTGGACATCACATATGATTAATTCAACACAAAGTTAAATTATTTTTTAATTCATAAACAGAATCTAATAATTTTTTACAATGAATTAAAGAATAAGCAAGTCTTTAGAAAGATTATATAGATAAATTATCTAGAATATATCTTTACTGAAATGTTACAGTACTTAAGTTCATTTAAGAAAAGTTAATGTTATGTTAAATTTTATTATTCGTCATATACTCATTTCACTTCTCTTACATAGAACCTTTAACATCAGCCTATCAAAAAGAATAATATACACGAAAATACCAGTAGTATAGGTAACTCTTTTTATATATTATTTTATTTTTATCCATTCTTATTTACTATTTATTTAATTTTTATTATTATTTTTTTATAGGTCGGTATGCTATTTGATAACTTTAATAGGCTAATACACAAAACAGGCACAAAAATACTAGTGGTATAGGTCAGTCTGGTTGATATTATAATATTATTTCAGTTTCATGTGATAAAAAATTAAGGATATATCTGAGAAAATTTATTACCCACACAACTGACATATCAATTAAAACAAAATTAATGCTTTTTTTTAATCTTCTATATCTATTTCCAAATTGCATTGCTTATGTATATAAGCTCATCTTGTTTTTCTAAACTATTGTTGTTATTGTCATCATATATTACGAATGCATCTTCTCTTCTTAATCTCACCATAGTATGATATTCTATTTATAATGTTTATCATTAATTTTAATTTAGTATGTGTATTAGATCAAATTATATTTACCTCTATTTTGTAATTTCCCTATAAAAATTTCTTCATGACTCTCTAATATATTTACATCATATTGGAGATTCTCTATTGTTCTACTATCAAGCATTAATTGATACTAAAGATCTTGTTTAAGACTATCAATTTGAAGTTTAAGATCATCATTTTCACTTTTTAATTATTGAATCTGATTAGAAACTCCTGTTTTTCAGCATGTAATTTTCTTATCAACTTTGTACTTTCTTCTGTTGTTATTTGATATAAGTTTAGTTTATCCTTGAGTGACTCTCTTTCAATGATTATTTTCTGTAGTTCATTTCATTTTTCTTTTAAATCTTCATACTGAATTCTATTTATTCTAAAAAACTTTTCGATATACCTTTTGTCTCTCTGTAAAAATTTTATATGCTTATCCAAAAATTTTTTTAGATTGTCTTCAGGGTTACTGTTATTAGACTTTATATGTTTTCTCATTTGGTATCGAGTCATTTTTTCGTCTTTTTTATGACCAATTTTAGGCATTATAAATAAATTCAATAGAACACATCCAACTACTATTTGATCTTTTTAATTTCATTGTGCATCAAGAATTAGTAAATAAACTTGATTACATAAAACATGAAGATAAAACTAATGTTCTGTTATTTTATATTTTTATTATAACTTTACATTAAAAATATAAAGTAAAATTACAAGAACCTGCAAATAGAGACCTGCATTGGGTCCTGCAGCCTAGCCTAACCTGGCCTGGCCCACAATTTTTTGTGGACCAGGCCAGGCCTGAAGCAAAATTTTATAATTGCAGGCTGGGCTGGGCTGAAAAATTTGCAAAATTTATAATTGCAAGCCAGTGTGGACCTAAAAATTTGTAAAATTATATAAGAAATTTTTGCGGGCTGGGCCAGGCTGAAGAAAAAATTTAACATATATGGCTGGGCTGGGCTGGCAAAAAAATAGTAACCCTAAATGTGGGCTGGGCCAGGCCTAAAAAAAATTTTTAACTCTAATTGTGGACTGGGCCAGGTCTCAAAAATAGGCAATTTACAGGCTCTTACCTGCAAATATTTAGATTATTTATTTGCTTAAGCCTTAATAATATAATTTTACTTAAAATGCCTAAAACATAAATATTAAAATGCCTTTATTTAATGCCCAATGTTGGCTTAAAGTGTATTAAATTAATATAATAATAATCAGATTTCTCTAAGCTGTAAAAAAAGAGAACATAAAGTAGTAAGATTCTTTTTATATTAGTGCTCATATTTGGCTTAAACATGTTTTATACTTGAGAAATATTTATACTAGTTAACATTAATTTAAGAAATTAAATAATTAACATAAATTAATTTTTACTTGTTAATTACACTAGATAGCATAATTCAGCAAATGAGTTATATGCTGACCGATCCTTATAGCAGCTCAGAATAGTTATTGATATCAATAAGTAAAAAGCAATTTTATTCGATTAGAGATTATATATTACAGTTATTCAATTAGTGAATTGTTATCAATAGCATAAGACTTCAATCAATATAAAAAAAAAATTATAAAATATCATTGATTTGTAGAATAATTTTTAAAAAATAAATATAAATCATTGTTATTTTAAATTTGTGTAAATATTTAAAAGATGACAAGATTGAAAAAAAGTTCAAGAACTGATAATGGCCATATTCCAAGAAATCAAGAAAGAGCTTTAAGATATCCACTTAATTTTCAAGATTTTTTAATATCTTCTTAAGGTAAGAAATGACAATGTAAAATAAATAACCTTATAAAAAAGAAAATTAATAATTAACTTTCAAAAGAAACAGAAACTGATACCAAAGAAATTATTAAAATAAATCCCAAAGAAATAATTGATGTAAATCAAGAAATTGGAGAAAGGAATCATGCTAAACAAATTCACAAAGAAATTGTTGAAAAGCACCCTACAGGATCATACTATAAAGCATGTCAAAGTGCAAGACTAAAAAATAAATGCAAGGTTAATTATACTGAAAGCTCTCGAAAAAAATTCAAATTCAAAGCTACATGAGTATATTATATTTTTGCTATTAAATGAAATATATACAGTATTAATGCTTAATTTATTAATAGCGATGAAGGAATTGGAATAACAGGAGAATTAACAGAATTGATAAATTAAAACACTGAATTAAAAAATCAAATAAAGAAATTAAGAAAGGACTTTGAATTAATAAAATCTATATTGGAAATTCTACTAAAACCAAACAACTCTTTGCTGAACTTAGAGACTCAAAAATTAATTAATGAAACATTTTTGAAACTTGATAAAGAACTTAATAATATACATTCTGTTAACAAATTCACAAACATTAAAGCTTATAATAATGCAATCAGTAAGAAATCATCAATTGAAAAAAATGCCTTTTTAAAATTTTTTATCTTTGTTTATTCAGACTTTGAAGCCTTTAACTATCAACAAATTTTAAAAATGATTAATAATCTAAAAAGCAACCTTAAATCAAAGGATATTATTGGTGCTAGATCAATGAATTTGTTCCTGGACATAAATTTTTGGAAACAATTTCACAAGTAAAAAGTAGATTGGAAGAAATGAGAAATAGAAATTAGTTGTAGTGGATTCAATACTAAAAAAGATTTAGAAATCAGTCACTAAGTTTAAGAAATCTGCATATACTGTTACAATAATATTTAGTGGCTTTGATAATTAAAATTTACTTTTTAATTTTTTAAAAAAAATTTTATTATACCTTTATAACATGATTGAAAATAATATATGCTTGAAAATGAATTTTTATAACCACTAATTTACTAAGTCTATTTTGCAACTTAAACTTCTATTTCAGAATTAACTATTTTTTAAACTAATATTCTTGTCTAATGCACCTTAACAATATATAATTATTATTGTCCGAAGCATATAATCATTTGGATTTGAACAATCACAAGATGCACCATATAAGTAACCAATCACAGACAAAAGTTCATATCACTTACAAATTTGTGCCATTAATCTGATTGGCCAATGTAAATCATTTGCTGAGCTTTAATTGAAGTACTTTCTTATATTAATGTCAGATTCATATAATCAGATTTTTGAGATAATAACTTGAAATATCAAATATAGTGTTTTAATTACTGTTATTGTAATCCAGTTTTCATACTTAAAATTAAAATCTTTTAAAAACTGGTTTATAAATATATATCGATAAAGTAAATTTTATGTTATTTCTATCACTATTGCTATTATATAAAACCTAAAATTAGAGTAGTTTTTATATTGGTGCCAAATTTGGCAATATAATTTGAATTTTTTAATAATGTTGAAATTATAATAATATTATACAAAAATTTATTTGATATAGATATTGCATAATTCAAGAGAAATAATCTCTTAGGCAATTGCTATAACTCCTATGGTTAGTTCGAATTTTCAATCTTTTTTTAGAGCATTACATAGACATAAATAAAATTTCATGATTGTTAGGTCAATATAGTTCTTAAAATACAAAAAAAGCATATAATATACTGTAAAATAAGGTATATTATTTGATTAATGATTAGATTATAATAATGAATTATTTTTATTACGGCAACTGTTACTAATGATTGGGTTAGGATACCTGTAATGGCAGTCACACCAGCATGACTAGTAGGTCATGGGGCATTTGTGTAACAGGTTACATGACATTGTTCTTTGGAACAAGGCTGTGGTTATATTGTTATCCTATATCTACTTCTTTTAAGATAGTAGGTAACTAGAGCGACCTTAGACAGTGAACACTTTTTGTA